TTTCACCGCTTCCGAATCTTCGACAAACCGGTCATAGCCAAATTCGCTAAAAAGTTACTAAGAGCATCGAGCCAAACATTCTAGAAAATGCAGAGTGTTTTTGAAGTTCAAACCTTCGGACTCCAATAGTTCAATGCATACCTACACACCATACATGCCTTAATCAGTGAAATGCATCTCGAAAGCTCCGAAATGTAAGCGCAACGTCAAGAGAACGACAACAAAGTAGCAAAACGCACCTCATCATGGTGAAAATGATAACGTGTTCGCAGTTCCCTTGGTGTAAAAAAAGATATGGCTTCCCCAGTGTGACAGTAAGGTCGCCCAACACACAATCAGTCATAGTAGAGGCAGAATAGGTTTCTGTAGCCTTCTTCTTATGATTGTCTTGCCATTCAATGACGGAACTAAAAAGTTGAAACATAAAACTGTAGGGAAAATTGGACTGCAAGGACCCTAGTTCATATTTCCAAAAAGAAGACAGCCTAAAATGCATGAGACTGCCAACGAGTCGTAAGACGGACGGTGATGCCGGATTCTGTTCAAATGTGGAAAGTTCAGAAAATGGACAATCAAAAAGAATGCGCTCACGTGCTCAATCTCGTGGCTCTAGGATCGCGCAGGTCATCGTAGAAAACCCCCTCAATAAAAAAATAGGACGACGGATAGATGGCCCGAGCGGGAACATGCACACTTGGATTGTCAATAGCTTCAGAGCAGTCACCCAAATATATCATATCCTGAGGACACTTTATCGCATCTCTTAGAATGCTTAACGTCTGGGAGCCCAAGATTTCAATCCGCTGCTCCATCACCATCGTCCAGGGCTACAATGTTAAATAGGAGTATCGGAAAAGGACCATTTGAATAAACTATAACGCCAGTATGATACACGAATAAAATTACAGCATTACTACAGTCAGCAACGGCCAGCGCAATAGGTCGGTATACGAATACAGTGAGAACGACGTCCTGAATTGGCAAGCCGCAGTCAAAAACGCCATCTGGTGAGTTCAGATACCCCATATCCACGAGAGGTCTCCGAAAACGACTCCGTATACCCAGTGAATTTTTCTCGATATCTTTTTCAGAAAGATCCTTCGGAATAGCCTCTAATGTCTTGAGTGGCTCCAAGTTACGACTCGCTCGATCTGGTACAACATGAAGCAATTCGTCCAAAGTATGAAACTCGTCCTCCACGTATAAATTGCCCAAACTAAAGTAAGAATATCATGAGCAGGTTTGAAGGGGACTAGGAAACAAATCCAGACAGTAATAAAACCCACTCGCAATCTTTCTGCAACTCCTCAAACAACTCTTCGCTGCCTAGTAGAGATATCATGTGTGATTTGAGTTGCGAGTCGGCCTCTTTTTCTGTGACACAGAAAAATTCCTCCGGAAGCTCTGCAAGGAATCGCTGAAGCAACTCTTTGGCATTTGTTGTAGGACAAGAAACAGTAACATACTCGTGAGCGTCAGTCATACTTTCGAGTAACGCGGCATCGGGGGAGCGCAGCATGTCGAAAAAAGTAATATCAAGCTTTTAATAGCATATTTACAAGTGAACGAACTTATATTCTTTTAAATCCCGAAATCTAAGGCGTTTTATACATCAGTAATCTTAAAGCTCGTGATTTTGTAAATTTATTGTAAAAATGATCCAACTCCTTATTTGATGCTTTGCTGTCATGTCTAAATTAGTATTATTTTGATTTTATTAATACGCATTCGTGAAACTATCTAATGAAGATTTGTTTGTGCAGCTTTTGTAAGGCGTTATTGTGATTCTATTTAAGTCATTTAGACATTGGGATCAGAAATGTAATATAGGTCATACGCGGAACTTGTGCGATGCCAAATGGCAGTTCTTCTGGCTTTGGGCACTGGTATTCTGTGTGCAGAACGCATTTGAGGGATCTGCGAGTAAGTGTGAAGTCGAATCTTGACAAAAATATTGTATTCATAACTGTGATCGCAATCTTAGTCCCGGCTAATTTGGGATTTACCTGTTCCTCCAGTAAGATCCTCTCCTCTTCGAGGTTACACTGACAATTTCGAGGACACATGTTAAACTTTATTACATCTGTTTCCTGGTCCTTTTTCAAATTACGGTCATGATTTCTCTAACCGGCTTTATCTGCGAACAAGGTCTGAACCACTATCAAAATTGGTTGATGCATTAATTTTTAGTAAAGGCCGACAGATTCACTCACCAACTCTATGGTAAACCCACTCCTGTGAGACTTATTCTCTCTTTACTTCCCCTTTTTGTAGACCGTGTACAAGGATTGTGAGTTAATTTGGTGTTTTGTCTGACACGGTGAGCACAATGGAAAGGGTAAGTTAGTCGAATATGGTCCAGTCAAATATTTTGCTTCCGTCTAGAGGGGACTGTAGCGTCCCAAGGCGTTCCATTGTGTGGAAGAAGGCATAAGTGAGGTTGAGTACATGTATTCGGAAGACGACAGGGCAAATCGGGTCTGAGCGTGGCCCGAAGGCCAGCCCACGTGTACGGGAGCTAAACAAATTCTAAAGTGACCGCCAAACGTCAGGTAGTCACATGAACAAAGCATCACAACGCGGTTGTGTTGGCTAGCCGCGAACCAAGCCAAAGCCCATTCACTCCAGATACTGTAGGAACTGCCTACCCTCGCTCTTGAACCACGGACTTCAAGAGAGGGTTAGTTGCAGACAATTTATTTGGTATTAGATACAGAAAAAATGGGGATTGGAGTACAGATGAGCCGAATAGAATATATCAACCGAAGAGAGGCTCCTCACGGTCTTTGTGCACGTGATCCGCGTTCCAATTTGGTCCCATCCCCTCTCTTATAAAGGTCCAATCTAGCATATATTACAGATACAAGTATTCATCTTTATTGAAAGCCTTATTGTAGCGCCCTGAGTCTTTCATGACAAATCTTAAAGTGACCGCCGAACGTCGGGTAGTCAAATGATTAAAGCATAATAACTATAATACTTAATGAGGAGCTCCAGGGCGTTACTTGCAACAACCACATATTACAAGGATTGTGACAATAAACAATGAAACGTGTTTAAGTTTTGTGTTAAGATATGGAGAAACAAAATGTTTAACTTGTTCGCCTAACTTTTGTCTTAGGTGACTGAGCGCTTAGAGTTAAACCCTTGTGGCCACGGGGGACAGCCTGACCTGTGAATGGGTTAATAGACCCAAGCCTTGGTGGCGAAGTCTGCTTTACTTCCTTTTCATCCATTTGTACGTGCGTTCGATGTATGTTTCGAGAACTGGCTAGTCTTATAGTTTGGTTTGAATACAAACCAATTTTCTGG